AATAAGTTCAAATCAGCAACAGATCCTTGGAGAAGACATGGGATTAACTATGAAATCTTCATAAAGTAGAGGGCAACCAGAATGTTCCCACCCTATAGCATGCTTACTCAACCCTCCAATGATAGTTTAAAGATACTCTGCTGTTATTCTCACTGAGAGGTAGGCTTCAATTTCTGTCCTCTTGAATCTGGGTGGGGATATAAGTAGCTTGTTTGAACGACCACCAGAATGCAGCAGAAGTGACATTCAAGGTTAGGTCATAAGAAGTTTTGCAGCTTCTGCCCGGGACTCTTAGAATTCCTGCTTTTGGTAACCTCCCTCTTAGAATCAAGCTGCTAAGGTTTGCAAAGTCCAGGGTACACAAGGAAGTCAGAGTAGGTGCTCTGGATAACAGCCCCAGCTGCTCCCAGCCAATAGTGGGTATCACTGCCAGCACAAGTGTGGGCCACCCTGGACATCCACCCCAGTTGAGCCTTCAGATGACTCCAGCCCCAGCTGCTGTCTGCCTATAACCACATGGAGATGATAAGTGAGAAGTGCCAAAATGAACCTCATCAGCCCACAGAACCATGAGAGATAATAATAAATACACTGCAGTTTGAGGCCACTGACTTTTAGGATGACTTGTTCTACAGCAATAGACAACAAGAATACTCTTCTCCTTAATGATAGGAAAACACTAAAATCATTCCCCTTAGTTAGGAAGGTGACATTAAAGCAGATAGGGAGCATGTGTGTTGGCAGTGGGGAGGGTTACAATTTTTGATTTACAAAGCATTGGATGTGAGTTTACATGGTTAAGACTGAAGAAATGACTTTAGTCTAGAGAAGAAACCCCCAAATTACAAAACATTTGGTTATATAAATACACTGTTCCAACCATATATAGATAAATTCCTATAAATCCAAACATCTGTAAAAGACATACTCACTATATGCCATAATGTAATATTTGAAAATAATACTCCCATTTGCTATTCTTTTCTGACAAGCAAAGCATATGAAGATACACTAATGGGAAAAATGCAAAGGCATCAAATGTGGGAATCAGATGAGCTGTTCCTAGCACATTTGGTCAGAATGAAGTATCTCAAAGCAAACATTTATATTGCTTAGGGATGCACACAGATGTTAAATGTATAAAGACATACCTGGGAATGAAAAATACCAATTTCATGATAGGGTTATCTCTTGGGAGATGAGGAAGGGAAAAGCCATTGGCACAGGCACGTGAGGGCCTCCAGCTTTACTTGTCAAGTTTAATGTCTTAAGCTAAGTGGTAGGCATGTGGGTGTCTGTGCCTTGAAAATAGTATCTGATAGATGGCTATGCAAACAGGCACAAAAATATCACGCAGAAGGGAATCACCATAGTAACAGGAATTCAGGCAACAATGCTAGGGTCATACTTACATGGGAGAGCAATTTAATTGCTCCTCATGCCACTTTTTTCCCAGTAATGATATTCTCACCAACTCCTTTAAGAACCAGTGATGTGAGCATGTCAACTGTTTTTCCCACCTAAAATGAATATAAACTCCCATAATCATTAGATATATTGAGTGTGTTAATGCAAAAGTACCACAGGCCCATTACCAAGGACTGTCGTTCAAAATGCACTTGTCTTTCCAAAAATTATTGTAGAATGCTATTATTTATTGGAATTGTCTTTAATAAATATGAGCTTTATTAAGACAGAGGTTCATACTTTTTGATATTTTTTTCTGGTGAATATTATTTAATTTCTCTTCACTTCAACACAGATTTATTTTCATGTCAAATAAATTAATCATCATATTTGTACCTTCCTTGAAATCAGTCATGGTACTACTTAATATTTCCATATCTGATGACCTTCTTAAAATCAAAGGATCAAAAAGTGAAGATCCAGAACCCTTGGGATTTTAACCCTCTCTTTCTAGATGCAGAGAAGACAGTCAATAAACACTTATTTTGTTGAATTAAGGACTGAAATGTACAGACCATACAGCATTACACACGTTAGTTTTTCTTAGAGTAGCATCGGTACTGTAAAAACAACAGTGAACTCAGAGATACTATATAGGGTCAGCTTCTAAAGTCACTGGGAACCTACTGGAAGTGGGTAGTGGTGACAGGACCTCTCTCCTCTGCCACATTTACAGAGACCCTCCACTGTCCCTGATAATGATCCTTGATCACATCCCCCTACTGGAGCTGAGCTTCCAAGAGGGGAAGGATGGAGAGAAATAGGAGGTATATACATCTTGTGCAGGGACACCTGAGGTCGGGGGTCTCTGTCAGAACTCCTCCAACTACCAGACTAATTTAGAATGTAAAAAACCAACACAGGGAGAAAACACAAACCACAGAGAACTTTCAGACTTAGTTTGTAAACCCCCATCTAGCATTTAGTCAGTCTTGAATTGCACTGAATGCATCATTACTATTAAGGGTTAATCTATAAAGATACTCAGGAAACTGAAGTCAGATTTTTAATAGCTCTAAATCAAAACTCATCTCAGTGCAAAAAATGACTAAAAATAAAGTGAGGGTCACCCTTCCACATGCATCAATGCAACAGAAGAGGATTTTTTAAATGTCTTCAGTTACAGATTTTATTATATCAAAAATAAACTAATGAATGGGATTAATGTTATGCCCATGCCCTTCCCCCCCAATTTTCATCCAGTTTACTATCATTTTTGTTGTTTTTCTGAATAAACATAAAACAGACTCTAAATTTCACTAAGTGCTATGAAGGTTATGAGACAAAGACCTCTCTGCATTATTTGCCCTGTTTTTGCAAAAAACAGATTATGAAACAAAAAAAGCCTTCTTCAAAGAGATGAGCAGCTTTGGTTACAAGTGCGAAAGTCAGCCATGTGTACCATGTCTCAGTAATAATGAAGCAAGGTGAGCTCCCCAGGGACTTAAAAGCCAGCGCCCGGCAATGCTTGGGTGAACTAAGAAGGTGAACTGCCCGTAGGACACAATCTTTCAGAATCCTTTGTGTTCCTTAGGCTGTGGAGCTCCCAAGGACTTTCTAAGGTGCATGCCTGGCCCCAGGGATCGGGCAAACTCTGCCAAAGCCTACAGGGACAGAAGCTGCTCCCTGTAAGAAACACATTCGAGATGGGATCATCCATTCCAGTACTCAGAGACCTGAAGGGGCCTGGAATGCTTGCTAACCTACAAGACTGCTTCTTCTCTTAAAGCAATGGCTAGGCATGGGGAGGGAAGAAAGAAGACATAGGAAAAAAGAAGGAAATTAGGACACTCAAAACACTGAGGACCACTCTCTCCCACTTTTGAGATAAAGGGTGGCAAGCCTTACTTTGCAGATATTTTTAGCAGCTGTAAAGCCCAATTGGCTCCAATTTTAAGCCTGTCTTTATATCAGGTTTGGAAAGGGGCTGCATCTCTTTACAATACCTACATACCACTTCCAATGCCAATCTGTCTTTGTGTTTGAAATAGGCAATCATGTACGAGAAAACAAGACCGCGTACAGTGAGACAATATGTACCACAACCCATCCTCTTGGCACCCAGACCCCTGTGCAAAGTGTTTTCACTAAAAAGAAAATAAACATCAAGCTTACTGCCAAAATCTTGAGTAGTATCATATAATAGATTTCACATTTTAAATTCTTAAAACCTGCCTTTTTTAAAAGAACAAACCCACTGACCTAGTGAAAGGAGCCCTATTAATCTCGGGCCCCTTGCAACAGCCTGAAAGACAGGTCTGATACCCATATGGATAAGCCTGTTTAAAACTAGAAAACCTAGTTACTTAAATGAAATCTATAGTTGTTTTAAATGAAGAGTACTTCCCAGGAAAAGCAATTTCTGCAACTCCTAATATTCTTTTTGATTATTATTGTGTGTCCTTTTTATTTAGGACATTAAAGGCTCCCTTTCTCCATCCTGAATGCTCCTAAAGTTACAGGACAAGGAGATCCTACCTGGCCGTTTATGACAGGTCAGTGATCAAACAGAAAGCAAGGTAGGCAGTAGCCAAATTCCATCCATCTCTTAAGAATTACCAGGAGCTAGGAGTTCTTAGGTCCTGCTACATTCAAGGAACCCCCATTCAGTGTGAGACAGGACAATCAACCCTTTCCAAACAAAGGTTTAATATTCTCAGATGTTTGCTCAGCTTCTAAACTCAATGATTTTCAAGAAAAGATGTATTTAATGAATATCATTTCCTGCATAGAAAAAGCTAATAAAAAAAAGAAAAAGTGACCTCATCTTTCTTTTAAGAAAAGAAACATCAGTTTAAATGGAAAATATACCAATATTGTATTGCTCTAGTGATCAAAGCATGTTTATTTAACTGGTCTTACCTTTAAATAGCACCAGTCTTTGTATTAGAGTTTAATTTACTTAAAGTATTCACATTCACATGAACAAACCCGTACATGAGATAAAACAAGACATGATGTATTGCTGTGCTTAAGAACACAATGCAGGTTGTTCATCCATATAAAGAAATACTCATTCCAAGCATTTCTGACAATGCAGAGCACACTCAGCCAGTCACTTCCCAGCATCCTCCTCCCAGAAGCCCTGGGAAGCATGAACACTTGCTGGCACTTGTGAGGTAAAGCGAAGCAGAGAGCAATGGCTGCTGACTGCAAATGGCAAATTTGGGTGCCTGGTCCAGCAGAGGGTGCCACAAGGGAAGACTGTACTAAAAATTAACTTTAGGAAAGGTTAGCAAAGTTTTTTTAAAGGCCAAATGCTTCTGCCATGAATGACTTCTACTGCAGAACCAACCGCAAGCAGTGACGAATTCAACAGGCATGACTCAACAGGCAGTAAGATCAGAAACATTTACCCTTCCATCTCAGGAACAGTTCTCCTGTCAAGGAAAAGCCGAGGTGCCCTAGTAGACGCTGCCCTTGTACAGGATCTGTGGTTGAACAGAAGCCTTAGTCCACACTTATTTACCACAGTACTGGTAATGTATGTGTAACAAGTCTTTTCGGTGTAGAGATCTGCAAAAGGTACTTACACAGCCTCCGGCAAGAATTTCTGCTGCAAGTGGGACCGAACCATCTTTGTGCATAAATTTATCCCTCACAAAATCATTCACCTTGAAGAAAAATATTTATAGAAACTGATGAAAAATACAAAAAAGTCATTAAGCACATATAAATATACAACTGTAAATATATGCTATATTTTTCTGTCAGCTTATTGAAGTGATCATAAACTGTATAAATTAAGGATCTTAAAAGAGTTTAAGAAATGTTCATAGTAGCATATATAGTATTTAAAAGGTATATACGTATTCCTGATGTTTCAGAGAAAAAAAAAAAATTTAGGTATCTTACAAGCCAAAATTCAAATATATCCTACAATTGCAGTAGCTTTAAAAGAGAGACATATTGAAAAGAGAGACAACATGTTTTGTAACTTAAAAACTGTTTTATAGGGTTTGATTAAAAATCACTTTCAAGTCTTCTAACAAGATATCATCTAAAACAGCCCTTATCCATGAGAAAATTTGGCTGAGCAGATTTTTTAAGCTTAGGGAAATTCAGTATCTTAAAAATTTCTCAAGGATTCTCAACATCAATAGCATTAATTAATTAATTAATTAACTAGCTCTCAAAATGGTTAAGTACTACAAGCAATTTTAAAGATCAATCACATGTTTCTGGAAGAGGTTGGAAGAGCCAGAGAAGGTTAGTTGTCCCAAGGTGACATAACAAGATGGGAAAAAAATTTCAGGCACCATAACCCAAATAGAAAGTAGAGTTTAACTCTGTGGGGCTTTATGACCTTAGTGATGTAAATGTCCTCTCTCTCCATCCCACAAACACTTACAGATAACTGACCACTGTCAGATGGGAGCTAGGCACTGAAGAACCAATCTGATAGAAGACCAACTTCAACCAGAACTCAGATACCTCCCCACTGGAGGCTTTGGCAAATGTTTACAGAATGTACCCTAACCATGACTTCTGTATGTGGCACATGTGACTGAACAAGTACATACTTTTGGAGTCAGACAAATCTGATTATGAATTCTAGGGTTCCTGCTCATGAATTGTATGAACACAGGTGAACCCTGTAGGTCTCTCCTTCCTTATGTGCAAACTGTGGTCACACTTGGCCTGAGAGTCAAACCCTACAGAAATGCACAGAAAGCACCTAACATGGCAGGCAGTGAAGAAAATTAGCTGCTGCTGTCGCCAGGGGTGCTGGTGCGGTAGCAGCTCCCAAAGGCTCGTCCACACGTGTTACCATGGCTTTGGACGCTCAGTGTCAGTGGGGAAGGTGAGAAGCTGTGTGTGGCGAGTGCCCTGCATTCCAGTTAGTTAGCACCTGGGAGGAAACATAAACCTGCTGTCTCACATAAGACTATCTGTGAGATTCCTGATTCTGTGCCAGCTCCCCTGCACAAGCAGCATCAGCTCAAAAGACTTACTGTAAGTTTTATGGCCTTCTCCGGGGCGACTCCCAATAGCTGTGGTAACAGACCTAAAAAAACCCCAAAGAGTAGAAGTATATTAAATACACTGGCATTAACTAAACAAATCAACAGCTCTAAAGGCAGGATCACCGCCTGAAAACTGGGGCAATCTTTGCTGCAATTTTCTGCTATTACCTTTAATGAGAATACTCGAAATGGAATGTTAAAGTATTCATGTCTAAGAGCCACATCAGGCCCAAGTAAATTCCCTCACATTCTGGATCGTTTACACGTTGGGTAAATCAACAGTATTAGAGATAGAGGAAATCTCATTATTCCACAAGTTTGCTCTTTCCCCCCCTACCTCTGAAATAAGTGGACTTTAGTGCATAAGTTATTTTTTCTAATACTTTTCTCATCCTCCCACCTCTCAAATTCCTGCCGTACAGCCATTCATTCATTTAACAACTATGGCTGAGTGACAAGCACAAGACAAACAAGGTTTTTGCTCAGGCCAGTGTCAGATGGAAGGAGAGGAGAGACCTTTCTGAAGAGGTGACAGACACGTGGGGGAAGATGTACTGGGGGAAAGGGAACAGAGGGGGCAAAGAGCAGAGCAGAGCCAACCTGGTGTGCTCAAACATGCAGGCGGACATCCATGTGCCGCCGCACATGAAGCAAGCACAGGCAGAGGCACAGGTCAGGCAGCTGCTGTGGCCACATGGCAGTCCAGGATCCTGACCCTGACAGTTTCTAAGCTGGATGAGAAGTAATTAGGGGGCTTTGATCACAAGGAGGGTGAGGTGACAGAGTGCTCGCACTGCGGTGTGAAAAACAGGACACACTGATAGTGTATGTGCCTGTGTGTGTGTGTGCACGGCGAAGAGACTGACAGAAAAACTGGCTTTGCTCTTGCCTGGTTTTTAGCATGAACACCTGGGTAGAGAGAAATCCTGTAGAGAGTAACAGGTTTGGGGTGGAAAGTGAGTAGGTCTGTTTTGGACATGTTAGTCTGAGTGGGAATTACAAATCAGAGCACAAACGGGGAGGTGTAGCTTTTGACAGGAAAGGTCCACCTCTAGGAAAGGCAGTTACAACTGGTGGAACTATATATCTGAACTAAAAAAATCATTACCATTTGTTCTTTCTAAGAAAATGAAATCAAAGACAGATTTGCATTTTCTTGGAAACACGCATATAATCAGAATATAGTGTTCCCAGTGTCATATTGCTGGTCCTTGAGAGGGCTTCACAGTGTTATCCTTTGTTATTAAGTACAATTTTCTAATTCACCTATATAAAAAGGTTCACTTACAGCCTCTTCTAAGAGACCAGCCCTGCCCTCACCATCTCCCTAAAGGAGCAGCCTGCGGCCAAAAGTCACTACCTTGAGGGCTCTACTACCAGTCTGCAGAAGTGTTTTTTTGAGTAGCAAAGATTTCCAACATATTTGAGCTTATTGTAAAGACAGACAGCTAGCTAGATAAGTAAAGATAGACAGGTCCACCTGACAGTCCTGAGCCTCCTGACATCACAGCCTCTGGTGGGCAAGGCTCTGTCTGCCCTGTAGACAGGACTTGACCATCAATTTGCCAAGGTCCCCACCATGCCCTAATGCCATTATGGCAATGAGGACAAGTGCCAGCTGTCATTCACCATTTTTCTTGCTCTGCTGCTTTCCTCACAGAAATGTTTCTTTGTGTCTATAGCTCTTTACTAAGGGGAAAATTAACTAGACTAAAGTAGCTTTGTTTTTTAGGAAAAATGGAAGCAAGCTCATTGTGAAACTTAACTATGCTGATGCTAATGAAAATTTTCTTTAAAAACAGCTAACAGATTGCTCATTCTGTGTCAGCCACCATTTTAAGCACTTTATTAACTCAGTGAATCCTCATAACCACCCTGCAGAGAGGAAACTGAGGAATAAAGAGATTAATTTATTCTAAGTTATCCAGTTGATAAATGGTGAGACTGGGATTCAAGCCTAAACCCTCTTACTCAAGAATCTATACTTATTGAAAACATTCAGCTCTGTCCTATGCCTAATAGCAGCCATATTTTGAGCCTGTTTCGTCCCTAGGGCTGCAGCTGAGGGGACAAGGGGAAGATAACCTAAAAGACATGCAAGCCAATGAGGTCAGCAACCTGGGCCCTGTGACCTGGTACCAAAAGTGAAGTGAGTTGGTCAGGATCCCTCTCCCAGGAACACAACAGAGTCCTTAAAAGTGAGGCACAAGTGGAGATGTCATGTGGAGTGGGGAAAGCAGCCAGCTGATGCCGTGTATGTGCTAATGGCATGAGGAAGCAGGAACCACAAATAAGACAGGGAAGGGGGCTGGGAAAGAGACGAGAACATAGAGCAATGGAATGATGACACCAGAGAGAGAACCCCTGGCCCAGGAAAAGCACACATGTGGGAGAGCTGGCCTGGACCATGTTCAGGTGCCCCTGGAAGCCTCAGGGGAGTTCTAGCTTCCTTCTCTTGTGCGTGACTCTTACCCAACATTCTTCTAAGTTCCTGCTAGCCTGAGCAGGGCTGTGCTCTTTTTAACTGAAATAAACCCATGCAGCAAAGATAATGTGAATACAGAACTATCTGGGCAAAGCAAGTGCTCCTGCTCCTATTCAAAGTAAGCATTCTCTCCTCCTAAACTACACTCACTTATTAATCTTTTATTTACACCATATAATTGATATAACATGAGAAAAAAGGCTTTGTTATTACTTTATGAAAGTACAACTTAATTTATAATGGCAAAATGCAGGGATGAGCTGTATAAACTACATCTTAACACGTACAATTTCCACTGTACTCTCTGCATTCAGGCCAAGTACTAAATGTTTAGTTAAATATTTACTTGCTAGATGTATTTTTCTCATCATTAAACTGCCAACTAACACCATGAATGGGTTGAAAGCACTGTGATTTAAATGATGATCTCTTGTCTCTATAACTACCCTGTGACAAGTCTTTCTAAATGACTAATAAAAAACAGCTCGCAGAACCAAATGACTGCAGTGTTAGATGCAGTCACCACTCCAGCCAGCCTTTGAAGCTATCAAGATTTGTCTTCCTTGTTATAAGTTTAGTAATGCACCACGAACAGCAAAAAAACAAAACAAGATAAGAAATCCAGGATTTAAGATTAAATAAAGGACAGCAAATACTTATTTGTCCAGCAAACACTTACAGAATGCCTTCTGTATGCCTGGCACTGGAAGGAACTGGGATAAACAGAGTAAGATCTGTGCTGTCCCCTAGACAAACTCTCAGTTTAGCTGAAAAGGGAACCAAATGTGTCTCTGTGAGCCAGAAAGGGAACAAACTACCTAAAACCAGAGTGGTGAGGACCACAGCACAGGGATCTCCAAGTACTATGGAAATGCAGCAGGAAGAACCAGTTATTCTGCCTGCAGCAGGGAGAAAGCGTCAAAGATCAAAGAAAGCAGCATAGAGGAGCTGCTTGATCTGAACCTTTAAGGATAAACAGAGGTTCACAAGAGAAAAGAGACATAAGTAGAAGGGAGGACAACGTGGTCCAGGCAGAGGGAACAGTACATGTAAAGTCACCAACATCTCAAGATTGTGGACATTCAGTGCGGGGGCAAGAACACGGAGACTGTGTTTAGGTCACAGACCTTGTAATAATAATAATGACAACAGCCGGTGTAGCGGGGCAATTACTCAACACCCGGCACTGCCCTACATGCTTTATATGAATCAAGACATTTATCCACACAGCAGTAAGACAATAACAATAATTCAGTGCAAGTTATTTTTATCCCCATCAATAGATGAAGAAAGTGAGGCAGACTTCAAAGAGTCCATCCAAGGCCCCTCAGTTCTTAGATGGGGAGTGGGCTTCCCACTAGTCTGGCTCTACTGGGCGCTACTGCCTGGCACACTGTAGCTTGTCTCCCCACTCACACAGGAAGCCGGGACCAGATTCTGTAGACACATGGGGTGGGCTTCTGAAGTAAAGAGTAAACCTCAAAAAGTAAAAAGTTCTAGAAGCAGGCAAAGGACAGACTAAGGGCAGAGACCAATGGCAGGGAGAGTAATTCAGTTAAAATAATGTAACTGGAGGCCCTGAGTTTCTCTATTAAATGAGAGTAACTTCAACTCAGTAAGAGTAACACAAAAGGACACATCCATTCCTAAGATCTGGTCCAGATGTTGGCACTCAGGGAGGTACTGGGTAAAAATCATTACTGCGTGACCATCCTGGCTGAATAAGGGAACAAAGGTGGTCAGGGATTACAATCTGAGTGCCACTACAGATGTTGGCCTTGACACCATTAGTCCTGGGTAAATGCCCTCTGGGAGGGGTCATGATCTGGGGGACGATGAAAAGTCACAGAGGCGGGAATTTCAGTAACCCTCTTGGTTCCTAGACTTCGGGAGGAAGGCTAACGTGGCTCAGCAGTGCCTCGAATACATCTTGTTAAGGCACTTCAATGTGACCACGCTGAAGTTTTAAGCACATATATGTTTGACATCTGGGTAACTCAGTAGAAAACTTAGGCTTCTAATACAAGATGTTTCTGTTGAATTCTGGAAATTTGTTTTAACCATTAGAAACAGAGAAGGGATGTGTGTGTTGTTTCTAACTTGTCAAACAGCAGTTGATTTTCCAACTGCCTCAAATGAAATTTATTAGTGTGGTTAGTTTTCTAATCTTCTCATTTTAGTTCAGCTCCATCAGCACATATGGCAATGTTTCCTTGGCAAACTTCACCAGCAGGCTGCTAATGTGAGAAAAGATTTACAGGGCACAATATTAATATAGCATTTTGTCTTCAAATTTCATGGGGTTGAGGTATAAATCACACTTCCCATTCTGACTGCAGCACCTGTGTGACCCAGGGAGAACTGAGCTAGAGGTGTGGGCATTAAGCCGGCATCAAGAACCTCCCACTGACGCTGCCCACGGCATCCCAAAGGAGCTCCTATGAGCAATGTGCTGAATCAGAGGGTCACTATGCCACTCTTTACTTAACAACTTTTTAGAAGTGTAACTCTAGAATCTCAGAGTTGGAAAGCACTATGAAAGAGACTCATTAATAA